CGCCGCCGCCGCTCCGGAGCGACCCCCGCGCCTTCCTCCGCCCTTACGAGGCAGCGGCATCGTCCTCCCCCCTTCTCCGCCACCTCCTCCTCCGGCGCGCAGCCCGCGGCTCTGGCATCCCCGACGCACTTTCTCTCCCGGGTTGGCTCGCTCTTCCCCCCGCCGCTCCTCCTGCTCCGGCCAAAAATACAAACGAGAAGGGACCGCGGGTGCGCCTGGTCTTGGGGTTTCTTTTTCTCTTTTCTGTCCTCTGGAAACGGTGAGAGGATCACATGAGGAGCAGGCAGGGAGACCCAGGACCCTCGGCAGCCGGGGAAGGCAGCAGACACGTATCTGTGAGTAGATGTGTGAGTCCGTGTGTCTGGCTCCCTCCGAGTCCTGCGCCCGCCTTCAGCCGGGATTGCAGCCTGATCTTAGCAGTAATGATGCCTCAGATCTGACTATTCCCTGCTAATGTAAGTCGTGCCTTTTTTTTCCTCCCTGCCTGACACCCCAGGGAGATGTTTACAGTAATGAATTCAGTTGATAGCCATCTCTCTCTCTCTCTCCTGGAGTCCCTCCCACATTTGTAGTTTAAAGAATGCTTGGAAGGCAGGGCTGCAACCTAAAGCTTTCCAAGAGGCGAAGTCAGGCTAGGTTTTCTCTTTTTCTTTCTCTCCTTTTTTTTTTTTTTTTTTTCCTCCCGCTTTTAACCCATTGCTTGCTGAGGGCAGTTTAGCCAGCTCCGTCCCTTTGGATTCGCCCTCTTCCCCCTACTCTCAGCGAGGGGAACCAAGCGGGCGGTGCTGGCCGGGAGGGGTGGGGGATGTGGGTGGGCAGCCCCCGGACCCCCGCCCCGCCTCACCGCGGAGCCCGCCGGGCCGGGGCTGCGGGAAAGGAAGGTGCGGGTATCGCCGCCCTTCGCGGAGGGGCTGCCTGGGCTCCGCTGCTCTGGGGGGGCTCTCGGGGTGTATCGGAAGGGGAGGCGTGGAATGAGCTGAAAAACTCCCCGAGCTGCGGTCCTAACTGGGAGATGCCCTCGCTGGCGATAATTACAGCCGTGCTTTCCACCAACATGGCGATATTTCATGTGCAGCCACAGACAAGCCCGCCTCCCCCACCCCCTTCTTTCCTTCTCC